CGGTACGATGTTCTAATGCTATGTTAAGGGACAATCGTGCGTAACATTTTGTGTTGATAATTTATAATTATCAATACATAATATTGGTAGTTTTCTGCCCGTTACCGCCGTTGGGCAGTCCGTCAGCACAGAACGAAGTCTACATTTAGATTCGAATCAAGACTAAGAAGTAGAGACAATGTCTATATTTATAGAGGTTTACCTATGATCACGTGAAGTCTAAATCTTTCGTCTAAAGCTGGACCCGCTTATTATAGTTATAGTATTTCGTTTACGTAACACGCCTGACTTTGTTTTGAATGAGTGGTTTCACCGTGATACTTCTTGTTCATACCCATGGCAATCATACTAATTTTAAGAGAAAAAAATGTTAAAAACCAATTTGCCCACCAATATAGTAAGCTCAAATACAGCATAATATTAGTTGCTCTTCTTGTTACCTTTATTATTATCTCGTGAGCTAGGATCAGGTAAACCTTGGTATTTTCTATCCGCTTTGTAGAGCGTTTCTCTATGGTTCCAAACTCTCAAACACAGGGTCTCGCAGCAGCTTATCTGCTGAGTAAGAGGTAAATATTGACTAGCTGATATATGTAGATGCTTCTGTTGTCGAAATCAATTTGCTTGATAAACCCATACACTATAATATTAGTACGAGTAAGTACTAGTATTGAAAGCTTTGGGAGGCTTACTCGCGAGATAAATTCGAAAAAGTGTACAGGCCGTCTAGCCTATCACCTTGACTGTTGACAGGTGGCTTAAATGTCATCGCATATTCAAGCATTTGTAGTTCTGTTTGCCACTTGTCGACTATAAAACATTTCATTGGATTTTCCATATGTATCAGCTATGTATTGCTGGAAAAATACATTAAACCCTGCGTTTTTTTCCGACGCCTCATTCCATCAGTTCGCGAAGTCGCATTCATCCATATTGTTTTCAAATCCAGATGAATACTGTTTCGAAAGAAATAGTGCAACTTTTACTTAGTCCCTCTTCGAGCGGCCTCAATGACCTTTGCCATGCGTGATCTGACACTGTTGTCGCTCATCGCCAGCGAGTGGATGACCAAGACGCGCTGCCCCCTCCAATTCTAGCAAGCTATTACCGAATTTCGTCAGCTGGCTTTCAGCAATCGTTCGAGACATAAGATCTACATGGCACAAATGTTCCGGCAGTGTTTGAGCTCGGCGGAAAACAAATGTCGGAAACCAGGAACCTTTAGGCTTAAATTTCAGCCATATAAAATCGAACAAATAGCTGAGGGATAAATAAGGAAAACGCTTTGAAAAAGACTATTCTAACATTTTCCTTAACTGGTTATCTTGGTACCACAGGCTGAGGCGATCCGTAAGCTTTCAGCAGTTATAAGCAGTTCACCTATATTGAAAGAGCACATCCTAGAGGTGTGAATATTTTGACGAGAACGATTTTATTACGATTACCTCCCTTAGTTTTAAAGTAGAACTATTATATTACAAGTTAAAAATATACATCCAGACTGATGCGATGCAGGTTCCTTAATCATTTCCGAACCTACTACAAAACAAAGCATACAGTAAAAAATATTCCTGTGTTTTTTTGTTTCGCCTACTCACAGTTCGATTTGTTAATGTTAATTACACGAGACACGAACATGAAAGCCTTTACCTCTGTGAGGTTAAGATTAGCAGGAAAAGATCATGGAAAAACGAAGTGGAAAATGAGTGAATTATTCTTCCTATTGTTTGCACCAGGCCCCAGCTTCATCCCCCAAGCTAACTGTGCTCCCGCTACGGCTCTTTTCTCTCATTGAGTATCCATTGATGTATTATTGCCTTGTTGTGCGAAATTGTTTTGGTCAAGGATAGCAATAGTTTAGATAGACAGGCAGGATTTGTACCTTCGTGGTAAACTTTACCTGCACATTAAATCATAGTACAATGGCGTACGAAACCCAGCAGTTGGGTTAATCTTACTTGGATTACTGAGATTACTGGGATTACTTGATAGCACCTTCAAGAAACGTAGTCGCTATTTAGAAATTCGTGCTTCCGAACCAGACATTCGCATTATACTGGGATCTTTTTAGATCTGTTATATCTAAGAGGTCATCAAAAGTACCTGGTGCATCTTAGTTTTTAGCGGTGTCATTGCCATTTAACGTTGAAGTTTATATCAATTAAAGGAAATATCCAGCTTATTTTATGGCGATGAGACGCATTGGCGAGGAAATGTACACCATTTGTTTTCAAAAGATTTGACTTAAGAGCCGTGTTACTTTTCTAGACAATAGCTTTTCAAACATACTTACACCTTAACACCTTAAATTGAATTGCCTTAGCACGACGAGTTTGTTATGGGGTCCATGTATCACTTATTTATTTAGAGCATTTTAGTATTGTCAGCGAATTTATTTGCACTTGATTAAGTGAGTGAATTGAACTGGACCTGATTTTATGTTTATGTCGAGTCCTGCCCGTTTGTGGGTAAAACTTTCAACGACTAAGTGAGCTCTTAAGCTTCATCAAGACAGGACAAATGCTCCAAGTTTTACGTCAAACACTGCCATTAGGTATTACTTTAGACTGGGCTGGCTTGTCGCGTCTGTCCATAGGCTTGACAACGTTATCTCTGCACCATTACGACTCGGCCTGATTGGCCTCCACTCTTTGGGCAGCTGCAGGTTTGTTTCCGTGAACCTTATGTTTCAGGTAACTCCAGTTCAGTGGCCGTTTTTCATTGAAAAGTCTTCGATTGGCGGACGCGCGATATCGCAGCCGCGTGACGCTGTCGCGATTCATATGGTTCAAAATTTTCTTCTGCTGGAATCGCACAACGTTAACCGATATTTAAACCATCCAATGCTGTAAACGGAAGTGCCTCCAGCATAGACTGGTAACGGTCGCTGGGCCATTCTAACATATCTCTGCGAACGTAATTCGTACCGCAACCGTAAACCGCTTTGCCTTTGGGACAAACACGAGTCTTCGATCGTTAAGTTGACAACGAAACTCCTTGAAAACAAAAATCCTAGGCTCATTTATGAAAGCAAGAAAGAGATATGGTATTATTGGGACGTCGAAATAACACGTTTTACTTTTGAATAAAAACGCGTCGGAATTAAATTCAAACATTGACAATAAATTTCAGTCCATAGCTCTTTCGCATATATTTCAATAAGCGGGATGATTTGACACTAAGATCCCAAACCAATCACCTTTCACCTTCTCAAATTATTGGTGGTAGTAGCTTTGAGCAGGAGACAGGGTCTTCGGCCTGGCTTAGCTTTGTCGTTGGTTAGCTAGAGCACCTACTTTTACGAACCCTGTGTAGCTGTAAGCGCGTATGTATTCATCAACTGATCATCTGATTTATTTTCTAAGTGCCATTTACCTGATTAGGGCAAAAAGTCACTCTATATTATTATAGGCAGGCTAAAGCTACGTTAAAGGTAGTGTCGGAGACAACAATTGTACGGTGCTTCCTATTCATTAAACTTATGGTGGTCTAGGTTCGAATCCGGGCGCAGCCATATTTCGTTTCGCACTCAGAGCCAGCCGTCTCAAGTAATGCTTGACGTAGAACACGTAAAAACATTCACCTTTTATTTGTTACAACTAGCCTATATGAAATTGTCTGGGCCGTGTTTCAACGCTACTTCCCAACTGCAGACAAAGTAAACATTCTCGTAAGTCCTATGTGCAGGGTAATAGATGTTTACCATATTAATGCCATAATGTTAACGTATGCTGATCAGCTTCTGAGCTGTACACCTGTACAAAAAATGCCGGTCAAAATTTCACACCTGTAGCTGTACGAAGTGATTAATAACTAGGTAGGGACTTTAGAAGTCGACACCAAACGTATGAGAAGCGTTAACCAAGTTCAATTGTACTACTGAAATATTTTCCTTTAAATTGTTGTAGATCTTTTTATGATTTTTACTTTACTAGAAAACGATACGTGTATTTATAAACAACATTTACGTATAAAGCAATATTTTTCAAAACGAGGATACTCGGGCTATGTTGTCTACGGTAGAGCTTTAGCTTTGTCCTAGGCTTTTGCTTCCAATGACGTTAGCCCAAAGTTATCTATGAAGTGTAGAGTTCGGCCAAAGTTAATATGTAAAAATAAGCTTTAAATTACCGTTCCTTCCAGTTATCATGACAATGATAAGATGTAATTGAACTTAACTATTGAACTTAACTTGAAGTTAACTATTTTACTTACTGTTCAGATTCGGTAAGACTTATGACAGCGCACTGAATGCGGACCGCGTCCGCAGAAGATTACGTTTGCTTTTGTACATATGCAAATAACCGCCTGAACTAATATTTGTGTTTTAAATAAATAAATTCCTTTCTCTTTATATAAAAACTTCCGGTCTCGTTGGTTTGCCTTTGAATGATCTTCGTCTACGTGAACCTTCAAAAATTTTACATCTAAAATGCTTCCATTAACGACGTAGAAGAAGTATCTCGATGTTAGGATATTCCTCGTTTTGTCTTCCACGTAGACGCAGTTACTCAGATAGCATTGCCGAGGTGCTAATTATTAAGCCAAAGCTTCGTATATATGACAACATAGTTATACGTATCCAGGCTCATAGTGACCTTCTGAAACACGAGGCTGCAAAGGAACCGTGCTAGGTATAACTTGGCTTTTTTTTTTTTAATAATTACGTGAAATGTACTAGTTTGCAGAAAAACATACTTTAAATGCTTGACTCATGCGCAAGCTAAAAGGGACACCAAATAGAGTACACTTATTCACAAGCTGGTAATTCCACGTACTATATGCAGTTTTTACTAGCAGACGTCGCATTGACATGCAGCACGTAAACGAGCACGACTGTCATTAAAATCGCTCTCAGAACCAATACCATCGATCGTCTATCGAATAGCGATCTTTGAATTAGAAACACTGTTAATTTCGTTGTTGGCTAATTTGAGCTGCATACCTAATATTTCAGCTTCTGCCTATCGAGTACCACTTGAAGGCATTCTTCAGCTTCATGTTTCTATAGATGGCTTTTTCTCACAAGTCCTATAAAGGAATAATGCTCTTCCGAGCTGTACTCTCCGTAGTGGTTGTCCATTTCATGCCACTGAACTTATGTGCGCCAACTGATTTTACCAACCAAAGTAGCTTCGTGCTATGTGGGGTAAGTGCTGGATGTCAACTGGATGACTTGGTAAGCGCATCACCGACCACACTGTGAAGACAAAACGGAACAGTACGTGATTTTATATGAAGACGACATAAAACAGTCGATCACTGTCAAGTCGCAGCAATTCAATAGCTGTCAACCTATTTTTCGAAACGAGTGCCGGTTGCAAGTATGACGTATATTGTTTTATTACAAATCTGTATCAGATACTATAAGTTATTTCAAATTTAAGTTGATTGATCAAAAATGCTTATTATTTCAGCAAGTATTTCAATAACAAAACGTCGCATTTAGGACAATCGAGTTTGATTTTATTAGGACTGTTTCGGATTTCTATATTCTATCAGGTGTTATAGTCTAATCCCAGCATGAAAACAGTGTTACTCAGTAAAGCTTTTTGTATCGAAGCAACTGGGGTATTATGGCTTAAAAGGCATTACATAATGCCGCTTGGCTATTCCAAAAGCTTCGTAAGGTTCTTCTATATTTGAAGCTCCTAAAAATCCCATGTGTGCCCCTTCCATGTAACACAGTTGTTTTATATGTTTTTGAGATTGCCACTATCGAGGGCTTCAGAATGAAATGTGACAAACACTGATACCATACTCCAAGATGAAGCTATTTAATAATGGTGTGACATTCGACGGCACGTCTTTTTGCGCTCGAAATAGACTCAAACACTTGAGGATCTGAGACAGTTGGATTGGGCTTTTAGCAGGCCAGCCGTAACCAGCCATGAAGATCCATAAGGTTCGAGTGCGTTGCAAGTATCGAGTTATTTAGGGCTCCCGTATTTAATTAAGCTTCTACTGGTTCAAAAAATTCTGCAAAGGAAATTCTAAATTTAAAAATGATTCCCATGAAAGATCATCAGCGTCGATTCAATTGAATGAATAAAGTTGAGAGCTGCGGTGGAAAGCAGGACGGTCAGCATTCGAGTTTCATGTATGTGAACGTATCGTACTTGTTGATCGCGATTAAATAAGTGAAGGAAAGAAACCAGCAAATAGACACTGCATGATCTGAGCGAGGGTTAGAAATAGACACGGAACTACGTTTGCTCCTCCCGGCTTTTTTGTTATAACAATGAGTCATTTTTACATCGAATTGTGACTTGTAATAAAAAAAAAAAGGGGGGTTTCTATGATAACCGCAAAAGGTCCTATGACTAAATGGTTCCAAAAAAAGAAACGTGGCAGAGCGTCAGCCTAACAACGTACAGCTGCAAGAACGTATGGTAGCGTTTGTCTGGTGGTCTAATGCAGAACTTATCTACTAGAGATTCATGGTTGTACTGTTAATAATTACAAGATATGCTAAAAAAAATTCGCTCTAAAAAGCTAAGCATCGCTATTTTATACCATGCCACAATAGAGTAGCCACGGCCAAGAATTCCTTGTCTAGCATTGATACTATCCATACAAGCACATATTTAAGCAACCATATTTTTCGAAGTCTCGACAATTTTCTAATTAAACAAGAAAAAATACTCAAATGTTAAAATGGTCTCGTATCCTAGATTGCGACAACGACCATATAAATAAATTATCATCCCAACAATAATTTACTAACACTTTAATTGAAATAAGGAGCACGCCTCGAAAAACTTCAAAGAGCTCGAATTTATTATGTTACATTTTATACTGAACGAAATAATATTTAAATATGAATAAAATATTTATAAAAGTTGATTTTAGTGACTGACTTCGTTTTATTTATACAGTGTTTTTTCTATTGGATTATTTGGGGGGCGTTTGGGGCGGCAAAGTTGCATATTTTCCTATTAATTTTTGCGTCATCTGGCCAACTTCAGAACAACTTTTTTTTCCATGATTTATTGCTAACGAATCTAATAGCCTTATCTGCGTATATTAGAATTTATCGCTATTATCTTAGGAACGAGCCAGCTCTTTAGGTTGTAACAGAGACAGAGTTATTTTGCTTATAGACCATAACCGTTTACCCTTCGTTAGTACGGTAGAAATATACTGTACCAGCTGACACAGACTATTTCTGATTTTTCAAGCAAGTGATGAATAGCTTCATTTGCCTTATTTTACACTCCCATATTCTATATTTATTGATGCTTTTATTATTACATTTACAAAAATTATATTTTGTTATTTAAGAGATGAATGCAACAAGTATGTAAAAAAAAAAGAAGCTTAGTTTGGATATACTGGTAAGTTGCCGAGGATTGTTTACGAAAGTGCCGAAGTAAACAACGGATAAACATCAGAAATATCATTTTGGTGACAGATGTGTCACGTATCCGCTATAGTTCTGCTATAGCCTGCTGGAGCATGTCAACATTCGGGACCAGTGAAATTTACTGTACTATAGCACACTGGGGCATTTTTTTTTCGGCTTCGTATGTGAATGCCTCTTTTTTTACATTACAAACGGAGTTTTTACATTGCTTGTATTGGTCTGGCGTTGCACACCTTTTCTTGTGATAGAATTATGAGAATACCTGAGTTATATTTTTTTAGCCGTTTAGAAGATCTTGCCTTTGTAGTTTCTACAGGAGCAGCAGGTACAAAGATGACCTTTCCGCTTTTCTTAAGGAAAGCCATGGTAACATACGGTTTTTGTCTTCTTGAGCAATAAATGGAGTACCTGCATTCTGTTTTGCGGTAAAGCCCGCCTTTATCTATGCTCGATTTTTTGTCGGCCAGTTTTTTAAGTACGTATCACTAATCTTCTTTACTTTTGCCTAATGTTTAAGGACAATGTTCTCAACTTTAGCCACACAATCCAAGGCGCTCTCATAGAAGCTATTGGTAACTTCGGCCATTCCCTCCTTCAAAAGTTAAACAACGATACGGCAAGTATCAACTACTCTTAATGACACAATATTGCATTCTATATTGGTAATGAAACTATGCTAGACTAGTATTGAGTCTCTGGTTGAAAAAGGGACCGATTCTTTCCTAAACTCACAATGTATGTAAGCAAAGAGTTATAATGAATGATTATTACATAGGCTTTGTTTACATTCGAATCGGTAATTGTTGACTGGTATTGTCACAATGGCCATATTATGTTGATTCTTTAAAATTCAGTTGCTAACATACTTCACATCTTTTTTTGTCCTTTTATCTTTCGACTTTTCGCAATGATAACACACCTCAGAGTATGAAAAAGAGGCAAATGAACACACTTTTTAGCGACCATTGCTATTTCAGTGGCACTTTTGCTGTTAATATTAGCAAGTGATATTATCTTTGGCCATGTTTATTGGACCATATGTACTAAAATCGTTCAATCATGTCCCCGCGTCGAACATTTAAAAGTCAACCTAACATTATCGATTAACTGCACAGCTATTTTTTTTTTTTATATCGTCCCTTACACAAAAATTACATTAACATATACTCTATTACTGCATCATCGTTGTCTCGTATCACTTTCAGAATAACATTGTCATATCCCCTCTTTCGGTGTACTCAATAATGGCAATGCTTACGATAGGATCACAAGGCAGCACTAGATATCAGCTTGAGAAGATTACGCGTCTTCATAGACTGAACTGGACGACGATCGTGGCGGCAGGGGACTACTTGGTCAATATTCTGGATAATTACCAATCGGGTATGTGACGACTCGGTGATCGAACTAGTGTTCTGGATAATGGACATGAGCAGTATATGGGTAAATTAGGTGGCATAAGCGCTGGTCAGATACGTAGAGTCGATTGTATGCCTAGCGATTACTAGGGGAGCATTATATTGATTCGATATGATGAAAAGGCATGCACACCACGCAATAAAAGTAGGGTGAACCTCGCCGGGATATTACCTTAACAGCGGAATTATCTAGCCTGGTTTGGTTTAATAACTTGACAGATTTTCGACTGAACCTTGCCAATCGCGTGTATGTCACTGAGGATTTGATTGTCCCACAACTCTTTTTGGATTCTACAACATTCGGTTTCGGTAGTAAGGTAGTTTTTATGGACTTCAAGAAGTCTGACAACGGTAAGTACATTTGGGTGGCAAATACCATACATATTTGTATATTTCTTTCTATATGTCATGCAATTTTGTTCGAACAAAATCTTTTCTCACGTTAGAGGGAGCAGATAGACCCATGCTGGGACAATTGATTCGAATTTAGTCGCAGCGTCTCATACATCGGGCTGACAGATCCAGGCATTGTTGTAGAAACGAGTACCCCATAGATACTCGCCCAGGCTAACTTTCTATAGCCCAGCGTGGGCCCTAATATAACCCTATGGTTTTTGGTTAAAATCTAGATCCTTTCAAAAGCAAACTTCTGTTCAGTTTATTTTTATCTCTTGTTGTGTGTACTATGCGTGTATGAACGCGTGAAATTCATAAAGAATATACACCAGGCTAAAATCGAAGTGCTTAGTTAAGACATTCATCAGAGTAAGACGTTCATTTACAAATTTTCTCTTTATCGGTTTTTTTTTTTCTCTTGTTCCTTTAGAATAAGTTTTACTATCTAAATATGTGTATGTATGAAACAAAAAAAAACAAACAAAATCACTAAGGTTATCTTTGTGAAACGTCAAGCTTTGCGCCAAGCGTTTTCTATAATATTACACAACTCTTTGAACGCGTCGTATGTACTTATGTATATTGAAAAAGCTATGCAACCCCAGGGGAAAATCGATGGTTTAATAAAAAGAGCGTTATAAATAGAATTAATGATTGTCATGAGAATAAATGCTCCTCAGTATCTCTATAAGCGCTGTACCTGCCGACGACGATGCTCGACTCTATTAGCTTCAATACGAAGGGCGCATAGTCTCTGTGCTTTGAGTTTTACGTCCGGCAACGCCGTAGGGCAGTCCCAGGGCTAGCTTCCAGCACGAAAAGAAGCATCTCTATCCCAAGTTCGAAGCTAGACCACAACGTGTCCCTAAGATCAACAGCAGGTACGTTAACCACTACATTTTGATGGGGACATAGTCTTATTTGGGCTTCGACCGGTCTGACTGGAGCCACAGTATGGCCCTTCCAGTAGCACTCGCGTACCACCGTGGCTAATCGATTCTAGCCATATAACGACATTATCGAGATATGGCGGAAGTTCGGTCATTGATATATTTGCGACGGATTGAATAAGATTTCAAAATGAAAATTGCTTATTCTTAGAATATACGAGCATTTCAGCTCACATACGCACAACAGTAAGACCTAACCATCCCTATGAAACGTGTAGCTCTGTCGCGACGTGTAAATTCGAACAAGCACCTCAGACGCAGCCACGGATCTCTTCAAATATCTAACGTCATGAACGCTGAAGCCTATGGGCGGCATCCAGTTGATATTCTGCAGTCTGCCGTGCAGTCCTCTCGTCTTCCCAGGAGGCATGGGGTGATTCGACCATATTTGTCGTTTCGGCCCATACACGTTTTAGGCTGCTAGGTGAAATACAGTCCGTACTTCACCCTTTAGTTTCAAGAAGGCCTACGGAAAACGTATCCGTCTGGTCATTAACGCAATCTTACAGATGGCGAACTCACTATGGCAAAGTGCAGATCGCAACATATCGAATACGCGTTAGTTAAGAAGATCTCAGAACGGAGAATTTTGAACAACTAAAACGTATCAAAGCTCCTTTCTGAAGAGACCACTGGGATAAGACACCACGATTTACAATCGCCTCGCGTGTTTCTCGACCAACTTACCATTTTTGACAGGGAGTCTGTTCGAATTTCCTCTGGCATAGACTTTTAAGAACAAGCTCAACAACTAGAAGTAAGAATTTGTACAGATTGATGGGGACCTCTTTGATCGGAATGCGATGGAGGATGATTAACAAAGGAAAAAGAACCGGTTGAACTGACACGTCATGACCTAGATTGCCTGTATATAGATTCCAGGATAGGCGTTGCAGGTAACAGGGTTTTCATGGACCTAATAAGAGACGTAACAGCTCCAGACGTGAGTAAAATTGTGACAAGTGCAATGCCGCTTGCGGCTTTCTGGTAGCATTTTTAGGATGTCTGAAAAATGGCGAAGTATATATAGGGCGAAGCGGTCTGTTGTTTCAGTATTTATTTTGATCTCGTCATACAGAATTGTTGATTCGTACACATATGTTTGAAAACTATTACCAAAAGTGGATGAATGAAGTTCGATAAGTTAAACGCAAACTTTTGCCGACACAATAGCTAAGTAACCTTCTGACTACGATACTTTGCAAATTTAGGCACACACCACCAATTTTTCTCCGACGGTTCAATGCCGATACAAAGCGGTGAAGTAATGTAACGTTCACTACCCTATCAATTTTTCCATTCTAACTAAAGCCAAATTTCAGTAGGACTATCTTCTGTGAAAGATAAACTAGTGAGGTATGGCTTCATTCTGCTGCACCTTTTCTGCAAGGGCAAATCTGTCCAAAAAGATACGTACGATATACACCGGGGCCGAAGCAACTGTGCTGAAATAAAACATCGTCTGTTATTTCCTGAAGAAAAAAACAACACAAAAAGATTCCGAAGTCCAAAGCTGGGTTTTTGGTTATTTGACCCATTACAGAAAATAGTATATTTAGACTGCCTTTTAATCAAAACTCTATTTTGTGTACCGCGTGCGAACGGAACTATAACATGTTTATACGTAACAATATTGCGTCATCCACAATTGCTATAAAAACTTATTCGCAAATTCAAAAAACAAACTTCCAGAAATTTTTTATAAGCGCTTAGATGCTAAATTTAAGCAAATCTTCAAGCGTATAACAATTACATTAAATATCATGACGACGTTAGTGAGGAATGCCCCTCTTGACGCATGCAAAACATGATACTCGAATATATGTTATTATATAGATAAAGCTCACGATAACCAAGCGACGTAAACTACTTTTATGTAGTCTTAACATCTTTTATGCATACGTTTATTTTCATTGTTTATAATTACGTACAATCTGACTATGGCTGATGGATACATACGGACCTGTTAGAAAAATACCAGCGGCCCATTTTTCGCGCACCCCACATGAACCTCCTTCCTCTGCCTGCCAGTTTCTTAACTGCGATTTGCCTTTCAAATATTTGTAAAGTTAGTACCATTAATTTTCGCTGTAAGTCATGTTTCAAGATGCACCAATAATTTTAATAGAACTTAACTGAAATTGGTCTAGTTTCGAAACATTTAAGGAGATTTCCTATTTCAAAGTGCTATTCAATGTACTTCGACCAGATATTTCCGTGTTCTACGCACGCTCATATGATTTCTAAAAGTGCACATTTGAACTACAGTGGCTCTGGTATCCTATAGTCTCAACGTGATCCGGATCTATCATAGCTAAAACTAAGTGTCCCTGATTGTTTGTCCAGTACCGTCGTCAGACGAAACAAAGGCTTAATATAGGTATCATATATTTTTGATGATTTGATTTACTTTGGTTATTACATGATGGTTTACTATTTCTTGCTGTTGCAACGCCTCTATTATTCGATCAGTGGTGGCCGAGATGAACCATTTTGTAAATTTAGCAACACGAGGAAAGATTAAGAAGATTGTCGATGGACACTTCACCAAGGATACGACGATAGCTATAGTCAGTGCTGTGTTCTTCGAAGGTGCTTGGCGGTTTCCCGTAATGAAATTTAACGAGCAAATCAGATTTAACGCTCATTGTGAGTCGCCGAAAAATCATGCCAACTGGTTTAAAATCAGTGGTCGGTAAGTTTTTATGAAACTTCGTACTTTCATACATAGATGTATAGCAAATCTAACCTGTTTGAATGGAACCCTTATAGTATTTTCTATTACTGCCGTATTATACGCTGATCGCAGAGCCTTTTCTGTATTTCCGACAGGATGGCCTATGGAAACTCTTCGGCTGCTGACGCGTATTTGTTAAGAGTACCATACAATACTGGCATAAAGTCAGTTACCAAAGCTGAGTTGTTGATAGCTCTTCCAAAATCAGAGTACGTTCCACACATTTACCCTAATGTTGTTTACTGACATTTGTTTGGCCACACTTCAGCGTTAGTCCTATCTAGTAGCTTAGCTACTCTTTATCGTAGTACGTAAGGAATGCCTTAGCGCTCTATCTTAGTGGATAGTTTTTTCCCTTGACACATTTTTTGGTAAAGTTGAAATTCACTACATCTTGCGTAGTTAAGCGTGGCACTCATTCCGACTTGTTTATGCCTCATTCGTCGCTGCAGCTCCTGCAACATTGATAGATGGTTGGAAAAACGACGGTGGATTGATGTTATGCGAGCATTTCACCAGACAGAAAGTAAGTGCTTAGATTCGCGAATTATTGGTAACTCGCACCTCGTTTCTAGCCCAGAGTAGCCCGGCTAAGGTGTGCGTGCCCTTAGCCGGTGCCGAGGGCCGCTTGATCAGCAAGCTAAGGAATTAATATGTAGATAAATTGTATTGCGCCTCTACATGCTTATTATGGCTTTTTTTTTTTCTATCCTAAAGTGACTAGTGTAGAGCTTCTGATGCCAAAAATTAACGTAGAGTGGGTTGGTGACCTTCGAGATTCAATCAAGAAGCTTGGAATCCTCGTAGCGTTCGAAAAGACACAAGCAAACTTCAGTAAGATGGTCCAACCAGCATCGAACGTAACAACAACACCACTAACATATCTCAATAGAATCTTCCATCGAACTTCGGTGAGTTTATGAGATGCTGAAAATTATCTTTTAATCTTGTCTAAATGTCTTTTAATCTAGTACACGAACCGTCCGCGCTAATTTTCTGCCACCTTCGGATCTTTCGGTAACACAAGATGACACTATCGAAGTTCGCGAACATTTAATGTCGTATCGCGTTCACGGGTTTCATCTCAATCACAAAGTAAAGAGAGATATCACATGCACGAAATGTATATAGGTGTTCTAGTTTACTTTCGAGCTACTTAGAATCAGAAAAATATTGCTTCTAATGACTGTTAAGGCCAAATGCAGGAAATTAACTAACAATAACCTATGTAAAAAAAATAGATCTTATGGAGCTGATTAGTTCTTTATTTACTGGCAAATAATTTTCTGCAATAAATCTGCTTTGTTATCGTACAGAGAATTCAACAATCTCTTAACTTGACACTTCTTTACTATCTATAGTTGAGCGTGTCGGATTTGGGCACGAGCGGAATAACTGCCAACAGTAGACCCCGACGCGACGTAACGCAGGCCAGTGCTATTCAATTCGAGGTCAAAAGTTCTTTCTACCTAGCTGTTATCGTCTCCGAGCTGGAAGAATCAAAGGACCAACATGCATTTAAGTACATGCAGGTTTTCGCTGGGCTGATCAAGACTTTGACATAAACGCTATACAGTATGCGCAATACGAAGAAACAGATTTATTTTAAAGTGGATATATTTCACTTTAAGTTTTAGTAAAAACAATTCCCCTAAGTATTGCTGAGAGAAAATAGGAGACAAATTCAAAGCAAACTACGTTGCACACCAAATGAGCTTTCTTCTTATGGCTCGAATCTTATGCGTAAGAAACCGAAATAGGTTGTAGCAACAGTAGCCTAATTATGATAGAATGATGGTTATAGCCCCTCTCTCTATCTCCCTCCCTCCCTTCCACTCTCTCTTTATATGTATGTGTCTCATTTACAGAATATAAGCTGGAAGTGCACGCCTGGCAATCCAAAAAGAATTGACAGACGACTAGACCGTTGTAGAATACAGTGCAATATTATTTCATTATAGGCAATCATTTTATTCAATCATCATAAATAAAACCGATGACTTATTTGAACGGAAGTCGTGTCGAAACGTAATTCCAGCTAAAGTTTTACGGACTAGTCATACAGAGCAGCTAAGCAGTATAGCTGAAAAAAGTGGTATTCGAATATATACCTGATGTTAGTTGATAGCGTTATATATATATATATATATATATACATATATATGTATATATATATATATATATAGGTATGCCATTAGTGATATATAAGCAGCCTTACGTATCCCAAATGGAAATCTCGCGCTCACTGCTAATTTATATTAGCAACAGATCTGCTAGCCACAGGGATCAAACATAAACTTTGCGTCAGATATTATGCTGGCATCAGAAGTCTGCCACAAACAAAAGTCAACAATCGCAGTCTATTACTATTGTTCAAGAAATATTAAGAAATGAAGCTGGGGCAACGTCTACAAATATCCATCTTTGTCGTGGCGAGAGAGCATTTTGTCAAAAAATAAGATGGACGTTCAACTGGCCATTGTACAACTATGGTCTGTAAATGTTATTTCATTAAAACCAAATATTCTCCATTGACAAACTCCAACACGGTTTATATGTCGGTGCTAACTGCACCTAGTTTTTTCCTTAGGAAATACTATTTGCAGTATCAATTTTCTTAGACTTGTAAGGTACGTCTGACTAAAATGCTATTGGAATAGCCTAAAAAGTATTGCAATGACTCTGATCATTTCTGAAAAGTCTGCTAAACGAAAAGACTTTATGCTGCTAGTTATTTTGTCATCGCAATTTTTCTAGAATCCTAATAGAGCCGCGATACCTGTTCCTCATTATAGGTATGCACAATAAAGCCAAACATGAAAATAAACCATGTCGATGAGGTCTTAGGTTTCGTTCATTCTTGCCACTGGGGGAATCAGCCAGTGAAGAACAACCAGAAGATGGACTTACACCAACGATATGACTTAGCCTTGAACATGAACATGCACCTGGGTACTACATTTGTACTACAACAATCAACTTGTAATCGAATTATTCCCCTGGGGGGTAAACAAAATAAAAAAAACTCTTTGGCCGTAGTATGGGGTGCAGAGTATGTATACAATTCAATACGCGCGTTTTAGGTCGAAATAATCCTATACGATAGAGACGTTTAAAATTATGTAAAAACAACTTTCAAAAAATATCTCAATGCATCGCTGGGTTCCCCGAGATCTGGTCAAGGTTATATCACAAAAGAAATGCTATTTCAAGAACTACGCTATATAGAATATGAAAAGGTAATATAATGTATGCTTTCAGTGTGACGATTTTAATACTTTTACTGAATGGCCGTTGCGTGTATCTTTCAGTGGTTTTGTATAATATATTTCGGTAGCAGCGAAGAACCAATAAATTTGCACTGTAGAATAATCTAACGAAATATTAAACCTTTTTATTTCATGTCCCATGAAAGACAATTGTAAGATATAAACAAAAACCCGGAGTCAGCGTCTTAACCTAGGAATTCCAGAAGACCCCACAGAGTCTTCATCCAAACTTTTGACCTTTTTTTTTTACTCGTAAGTTTCCTTTGAGAGTACCTACTTCTAACTACTTGTACACCCGGTAGTAATTTAATTCGTCTGAATGATAAATAATGGCTGAAGAATAAGGAGACCTGATTTTTCAGCTAGATCAAATTTATATGTAACAATTTAACCTCTGAATTTAAAAAAAAGTTTAATCTTAAAGCAATTTAATATTTAGGCGATACAAACAGAGTGGTTGTAGCATAAACAAATACTTTTAAATCATTGTATCTAGTTTTTTTGACATCACTTATATAAGAACTTCATGTATTGTTATATATGCATCTTGAGTATGCTTGCTAGAAACAGCATATCTGGGCGTGTTTGTGCTACTTTCGAGCTGACAATAAGCAAACCTGAAAGGTAATGATATGTTTTTGTGTGCAGAAATTTGCAGCGTTTTCATATAAGTGATCGCATGCTATTGACACAATAGCATTTGCTTTGTTTTAAGCTCTCGGCATAAGGGGGCTGCTAGAAGATGCTTGCAACGTTACCAGTTCCAAGCTATAACATAAAACTATGTTGAAAAATCTGTAACCAAGTGCTTCTAAACAATTAACAAGCGAAAATAACAGTTCTGTCAACTTCACTGTGATCTCACATACTACAGATTAACGCAGAGGCATAATTCGAAAGGTCACTAAATCGAATGTTCTCTGTGCCCTCACGCAATGCAAGGATCCTATACGAGGTGCCGGGCGCCGTATCAAATACTGTTTTTTGTCATAGTGTATTTACAAAGTCACCCAGTGACTATAAGGCAACATCAAAAAAATCTGTAGCATAAAAAAGCGTGTAATTACAACATACAAAACCAATTACGCTTGTGCCAAACTAACTACGAAGAAAACGAAACGTGGCCAGCTATATGCAGGGTGCTAATGAAAACACAATTTTCCAGCTTTTCCAAAACCGTGGCTAAACTTTATGTTGCAGTAGCGGTGTACCGTCAGCATCAGGAGAAGCTACGACCGCAAAGCATATCCATCATCATTTCCTTTCAATCTGAGTCAAAAATGCGTAAGGCTATTGGCTAAAAGTACGCTTCTTGTTTTATAGGGCGCTTTTCGCGTTTGAAAATTTGGCGCTACACATCGTCGCTGGATCGAGCCAAACATTGTAATACATCACTCATTTACCAGCTGTAGCAGACGCCAAGCGTAATAGTAAATGTTTTCAAATCACGTAAGAAAGGAAATTTTGGGAACTAGCTGAAGAGAAGAATAGCTGAGGATCTGCTCAGACGGATATGGTAGAAAACAGAAAAGCTGTTCAAAGGACTGTAAAGAACGAAAAAAAAATTTGAGACTTCAATACAATCAGTTTTGAAGAAAAAGGCGAAATCAAGTTAATCGTAATTCATTTTAGCAAGAGAGAGACGCATACTATTCCACAGTGGCATTGTCGTTCAAAATCATCAGAGCTAATTACTATTGTTAAACCGCTATTGGTTGTACGCTTCCTAATGTAATGGACCTTTCACGCAAGGTCAGTAGCATGAAGATTATCTATCAAGAATTAGAAATATGATTTGAACCCATTCAATGTCATATAATGACAATATCCTAAGCTCAGATTTTTTCCAAAAAGGTATAATACGCCGCAAGTAGTATGCCGTAGCTGAAGAAAAAAAAAAGACGACGCTCTGCTAATTGCAATGAACACACCATAGACTAGAAAAAGGAAACAAAAAAAAACTATTGGAAATTCAGCGAATGTTCCGTAACTGACCCCCTCTCAGACTGTCCTGTTAAAAAAAAAGAAGGCGTTTTATGGATTACCTTCAAAAATTGTTACTCAGTTTAATTAAGATGCTTAAAACTAATATAAATGTACACGCTAACTGCATTTATCGTGGTCTTCTATGTGCTTGATAAGGTGCTCCAAACGGAAATTTTCGTTCTGACCCGTTGTACGAGACCTATGCGATTGAATTTTATTCAATGCAATTATATGATCGTATTCCGCACGAGAGTTGATTCCAAACATCGGTAACCTCCTGTGGGTGCTGTCCAAGTGAACGGTCGTTTATATTGCGACCCAAGGCAATTGAACATTTAAGAAGGATTCGCTGAGGCAAAAGGACAATCTCTTTCTCGATAAACGATATAACGATTAGGCCGCGTGTGGTGTTCGTGATAATGACCTTAATAGTTTTAATACCAACCATATTAGAAAATAGATATATATTTCAGGCATGCACGTTTCTAGAATAAAAAAGGTATTCTTGAAGTATAGGTAACCATCTAAATACCAAACATTCATATGTGATACGAAAGTCTTTATGCTCACAAAGCGTTCAGTATCGTACACTATTTCACCCATGTACTTTGTTTTGGCTTAGTTGAAACATTTCCGGAAATTCTCAATTTTTTTAACATTGGATTTTTTAAAGTAGATGGTGTATTGAAAGATGAAAAAAATCGTGGATTTTTTAGTCAGATTCTCTGTAAAAATAGAAGGCAAACTGACTTATTATTGGTACTTTTTGCGTATCGCGTGTCTCGCCCATATTTTTTGGTTTTTCTAAAATTTCTAGAATAAATTCAGGCATTTTTATCGCAATTGAAAGCCATTTAACAACTATAGCGTCGGTCTTGATAAACATAACTGTTCAGGTATTACATGCATCAGGACTACCAACCTAACAAGATTTCTTTCAAGAAGTCTGTCAAAGATTTCATTAAAGTCGCTATTACGGTAGTTCTCTAAGTGTCATATACTCGATACTGCCCTTTGAGATTTAAAGAATATTCGAAATGCAAATAATTACGTATTAACGAAATATTTTTTTTCCGCTCGATTTTAGGTAACGGCATAAGCTTAGTTGTTTCTCCAGCAGCTGCGAAAACTTGCCAACAGGTAGGTACTTCGTACAGGGCGTCCTGATCTTCACCTACAATCACTCGCTCGAAATTTTCAGCACTCTTTTTTTCGAAATGTTTTCAAAATTATTATTTAGGACTTCATTATAAATCTGACACCAGTTAAAAGAGGTGTTTATTATAAACGATATCGGGTATTTTGCCTAATAAATTCCATAAAGTACTCAATATATATTACAATAGTTGGGATCGGCGCTTATGATAGGTTTTATAGATCTTGTAAATATGTGTGGTATCTAAGGAGACGTTCATTAACGGTCGGGGAACTAAGACCAAACTTGCAATATCCAATTGCACGAAAATGAAACATTTAGATCTAATTCGACTGTAATTTGATTTGAAAAAATATATCGAATATGCGATTTCAAGATGAATTTCTTTTAACATTTCTCCATTTTTCCAACCTTAGAAATATTCCCGCCACTCTAAATATGAATGGGTTTCATATAGTTAAAGCATATAAAAAACATGGTTGTCTCCTAATCTATTTTCTTTA